AATTAAAGAGTTAGTAGAAGGAGTTCTTGTTGTTCAGCAATCAGTTGGTGATACCACCAAAGTGTACCAAGATTATTTAGGAAGTATTAAAAATGAAATATTTGAAAAACAGGATAATGAAACCTATGAACAGGCTATTAAAAGAGGAGAAGGAATACTTGATAGAATTGACGAGATAGAAAGAAAAAGAAGAATGGTAGTAATGGAAAAAGGACAAGAGACAATTAACAGAATAGAAATAATTAAGAATAAAATGAAAAAGATAATCGGAGAATGTACTAGAGATGAAGCAGTAATTAGTAAAGCAAAGAATGAATTAATAGACAAAATCATCCAAATGGAAGAAATGAAGACAAACAATAAAGTCAACAAAATAAAACTAGAAATTAAAAAGATGGAAGAAGAAATAAACGTTATTAAAGAAGAAAATAAATCCAAGAAAGAAGAATGGATGTCACATTATAGTGATTATCCAGAAAGAAAGAAGAGATTAGAAAGTATTAACAATGTGATAACAATGGAAGAAATGAAGAAAATCGAAGAATGGACAATAAAGAAAGTACGTAGTGTCATATTTGATTCAGATATTAATAATTGGAATAAGGATATATCAACACTTCAAGAAAAAATATGGTATAAAGAGCACCTAATAATTATCATTGAAGATACAAATGGAAATAGATTTGGAGGATATATTGATAAGAGAATTAATAGTGTTGGAAATTTTATAAATGATCCAAAGTCATTTTTATTTTCATTAGAATTAAAAGGAAGAATACAAGGAATGATGAAATTTGATATTAATGATCCACAATATGCATTTTATTTATATAATCGATCGGATTATTTGTTGTTGGAAATTGGAAAAAATGATATTGTTGTTTATAAAAATGATTTTAGAACAAGTTCATATATTGGTTTCATTTCACTTGAATGTAAAGGAATATCAAATTCGCTATCTAGAAAATCGAATTTTACACCAAAGCAAATAATTATAATTGAAATGATTTGAATTTTCATTTGTTTAACAATAAAAAGAAATAAAAAATGAATGTCATTTATTAAATGATAGAAAGAGTGTAAAGATAATTGATAATCTATTTTTTTTTGAGTTGATTTTATTTGGAAGAATAAAATAATGTGTGTTATTTCGTCAATAAATAATAAGAATGATTAAAGAAATAATAATAAAGAGAAATGATAATAAAAATGAAATACAAAGAACAAGAATAAATTATATGATTAAATAATAATAATAATACATATCATTGAGTATGTGAAATTAATTAATTTTATAAAATAGAATTAAAACAGAATATTTATTTTTATAATAATTGTTTTATTTCATTTAATTATATTTTGAATCTATTACACACTTCAATTATATTTTGACATCATTATTAAATTTTATTTATTCTAAATTTCACAAGTTTATTAAATAAACATAAAAAGTTTTCTTATTAATGAGTCATAAAAATAAAATTGTATCTATATTCAATTAAACTATTAAATTAAATATTATCTTTTTATTGAATGAATTATTTAAATATTATAATAAATGACCAAACAAAATGTTTATTTAAAATGATGAATGAACAAATATATTATACAGTGATTAGATTAGGCATTGAATTGAATAATTATTGTCATTAATATATAATATAACATATTGAAATATACCGAGTATTATTAAAAGAGGGAATAACAAGAAGTTAAATAAAGAAATTTAAAAAATAAACAAAAAGTTTAATTAATGAATTTAATAAATGATGCGTTAATTCTATATCAATTATTATTCAGTTAATAATTTATTTGTTAAATATGAAATATATTGAAATCATTAAAAAATGAAATCATTATTATTTAAAATCAATTGTTAAGTTAGGTGTTGTAATATTAACAAATGAAATACAAAAAATTGGTATCAAATTTAATGAAATTGTTAATGTTTATAGTGTTTTTATGGTTTTTTTAGTTGTGTCATATAAAATTATTGATTAGTGTTGATGAAATATGTTTCAATGAGTGTGTTGTTAATAATCATTAAAGAATATTTAGATAGAATTGAACTAGAACATAACAAATAATTAATATCAACATAATCAAAAATTACAATGATGAATGATATTAATACTTTTATTTATCATGTTTTGTAACATGTTATAAAAACTTATTTATTCACTTATTCTACATATTTTGTATATTCCAATTTTAAATAAATAATATTCATATCAATGTTTATGAAATAGATTAAATGAAATTCTACTGAATTATAATAATTTATAATATACAATCAAATAAACATATAAAATAAATTAAAAAGAATCAAAGTAACATAAGTGATTAATGAAGAAATTATTTAATAATCCATTTCTTTTAATTAATACAACAAATCATACAAGGATAAAAAAATAACAACAACAGTATTAAAAATAACAAAATACAATAGAGTGACAATACCTTTGCCAATAAGTTTTTCGAAAATAAAACTAATTAAATATTCTCCTTAAAATAAGAAAATAAAGCAGAAGAGTTTTAACACCCACCAAAATCAATAGAAACTTAAATGATGATATTAAGTAGGGACGTTTAAAATACTTTATTCCACATCAAAAAAAAACAAGAAAAGGAAATTTTCCCAATTCAACAACTAAAATCAAAGAATAAGCTAGTAGTTGATGAATAAACAATTTTAAGCAAAGAGACAGGATTATCTAAACTCAACTGAGCAAGGAACAATAGAAAATATTTCTATTAACACCTAATTAACTACTTTTTAATTTTTATTTGAAAACAAAAAAATACAAATAAAAAATTTAATTCTTTGAAATAAATAATATAAAAACAAAGAATAGAAAATTTATTCAGTAAACAAATAAATAATATTATATAATTTGCATTAATTTAATAAAAAAATATTATTATTTTATAATAAACATATACGAAATTGTATTTATATTGTAATGTAAACTGAAAGAATAAATGAATAAATAAATTAAAATATAATAATGGATATAGAATATTTAATACTTATTAATATTCTATTAAATATTTTATTTATGAAATTATATGATATACAATTGTTTAAGAGAAGAAATGATAAATAATATCATACCATTTAATAGAAGTACATTTTAAATAAATTTAATAAAAAAAGCTAACTAAATAACAATAAAACTGATTCTATTATTCCTTATTCTGGGAGAAGACTCATCTCAATTTAAATTAGATTCAAAGAATAAAAAAAATTGACAATTATATATCCATAAAATCAATAAATAAATAAAACCATTTAACAATTTAATAAAATGAATAATTAGTTTGGAAGAATTATTTTCAAAGAGTTATTAAAAAATTTATTAAAAAAAGAAAATCCATCATGAGTAGGTTGAGAAATAGCGATATCATTAAGATGATAAATAGTTCCATAAGTGTTATAAATTTTAGTTAATTCTAGTAAATGAGATGCAACCATTTTTCTTCTTGAAGTTTTATGAACCCATAACACTTCTATTGCAAGTCTTGCATTTGTTTTATTTTGTTCAATTAATTTAATATCATCATATTTATTACAATTACATTGATAAATACTATGTGTTTTATTTAATACTCTAGTAATAACAATTCCAATAATTCTATTATTTTCTATACAACAAATATAATTAAAATTATTTGATTTTAAATAATTTAAATCCATTTCAATATCTTCATTTATTCTTTCATTAATAATTTGTATTTCTTTATTAATTCTTGAGTTCCATTGAAATTTAATATATTTATAATTTCCTTCTTGTTGAATAATATTATATTCATTATTTTTTATTTGTAGTTTTGGTGGAAGAAGAAATTCTTTATGATATTTCTCATGTGTTTTTATATCGTCTTCAATAGTGCTTTGGTATTCAAGATGACAAATATTACATTTAATAACTCCAGGTTGTTTTTGGCTGAAGTCTAAAACACTTTGTCTCTTCTTCAGAACCGTTGATAACTTGATTTGTTTTGTTTTAGAAAAATTCTGAGTTGGTTTTGTGGTTTGTCGCTTTTTCATTTTATTTTTTAGTTTTTTTTTATTACCTCCTTTCTTAACAATTAAAAGTAAAAATAAAAAAGATCTTGTTGTTAAAACACATTTTCTTATCATGTCAAAACATCATCCAGATTTAGTAATGTGCAGAAAACAACCTGGGATAGCTGTCGGTAAATTGTGCGCAAAAGATGAAGGAAAATGTCCTATTTGTGATTCATATGTCCGACCATATAAGAAAGTAAGGATTTGTGATGACTGTAACTTTGGAAGTAATCAAGGAAAATGTATCATTTGTGGTGGAGAAGGTGTAACCGATGCATATTATTGTAGAAATTGCGTGTTACAAGAGAAAGATCGGGACGGATGTCCAAAAATTATTAACATTGGAAGTTCACGTGCTGATTTGTTTTATGAGCGTAAGAAAAAATTGAACCAAAACTAACATGTTAAAATAAATGTTTTGATTGACAAAAAAATAGATTAAGAAAATTTTTGTTATTTCTTTTTGTTTATTCATTAACTATTTAATAATTTAAGAACTATAAATTTTATAAATATTGTTTAATTAACCTATAAAATTTTACAATTTATACCTTCTTTTCTTTGTAAATTGCTTCTCTTTAAAAAAAGAAACAACGCCCTTTTGGTATTAGTACCAATTAAACTTTTAAATTCTTAAATAAAATTTGTGTTTATTATTTTTTTTTATACAAGAAGGTCAGAGACATTGTAATAATATATGATAGTACTATAAACAATAAAAAGAAGTACTACTATATCTTAAAAGATAATAATTCTAATTAAATATAAAATAAAATAATATTGTTATTTTTTTCCAGGAATTTAAATCATGAAAATACTTTCATATTGTTTTGTTAATACATTTGTAATATTATGTCTTTGAAAAAAGTATATATGCATATAAATAAAACATTCTAACCTTGTTACTATTACAAAGAATTGAATCAATTTAATGTTTTCGAATATAAAGTATTTAATAACATTTATAGTTAGATACAATTGATAATGTCAAATAATGTTTTTTTTTTGAGAATAGTATGATAATATAGTAAATATTAATAATATTGGAATAGATAGATAAATAACTTATAAATATATTTATAAATTTATTCTAATTTAATTGAATAATGAAATAGTAAAAAATAACTTTGACAGAAGAAAAAAGAAATAGTTCTTTACTTCATTACACTGTTAGAAATTAAATGAATATATATTCACAAATCTATAGAAATTAGTATTTATAAAAATAGATAAAAAATTTTGTATCTAATATTCAATCAAATAAATTCTATTAATAGAATGGTTACAAAAAAAAAAACAAAACAAGAAAAACACAAATTAAAAAAAAAAAGAAAAAAAAATAGAAAAAACTGAGATTGGATTATTTTAAGAGAACTTATGATTTCACCTCGTCTGAAAGTTGAAGACATTTATGATTTGACTCTGAAATCAGAACAACTACTCGATGCATTCAACAGAAAAACTCCTGCAACTCAAATTGGACTGTATGAACCAACACACGAAGAATGGGCATCTTTAATAGCACAATTAGGAAGACCTTCTCCTGTTATTCGAACTGCAGTTATTAGACATTTAATTTGTTTAATTGATATATCAAAGAATGTACCTGAAATATTATTAGAAGGAATTGGAGCATTACTTATTGCTAAGGCATTAGTTGATTATTCTACTATTAAAGAAAAAGAACCTGAAAAAGTTCGTAAATATAAAACAATGTATCAAACAATGAATAGGTATGCTTTCACTTTAATCTCAACTATTCTTATGACAATTCAAAAAATACCAACAGTTTGGGCAAGAGCAATTGTTGAAGCATCAGAAGCAATTGATTCAAGAGATACATCATACATTGAATTATATGATAGATTGATTGTTCAAATTGCGCTTTCATGTCCTGATGTATTTGGGGCATCAGCCACTGAAGCTTTGAGAACAATATTTTCAAAGAAAACAACTTGGAGTCAAAACTCAGTAAAAGATTTCATTTTATTTGGGCTAAATTCAATTCCACATAAAAAGTATTTAGGGATCGACCAACTATTAATTTCATTAATATCTCCAATGTGTAGTCCTGAACATTGGTTATTTTCTCAGAAGAATGTATTGACTCAAAGAATAAATGCTGATAGAGAACTTAAACAAACACAATATTCTGATGCAATTGATATATTTTTTAAAGTTATTCAAACGTGGCCTGGATTATTAACATTAACATCAAATAAAGGTATTGATATCTTAGTATTAGCATTAAGATCACCAGTACCAAAACAAATTAATATGATTGTTTCTAATTTATATAAATTATTTGATCTTAAACAACCAAAAATTCAACCTCAAGGTGTTGATTATCAAGAATCAGTTTCTGATAATTCAATTCTTAAAAAGTCACCATTAGTATTATCATATTATACTCATTTATTGATTGCTTTGATTGATTCTAATTTTTTTGATGCACTTTGTGATGTTTGTGTTGGAAGACAAATGCACGATGACTTTTCAAGAGCTGAGATAGTATCTCATGAATCTAAAAAAGTAGATAAAATGAAAACTAAACCAAGTCATCGTCAAACAATCTCAGAACATTCTCAACTTGGACTTGAAGTAACTATGATTGGATTAGAAAATAATTCTCCTAATGAAAAAGGTTCTAATTCAATTGAAGAAGTTAATTGTATTACTGTAATTGCAAAATCAGTTATTTTACTTGGAGAATTATTGTATTTAGCTGGATTATTATTACCACAACGACATTTATCATTACAAAAGTTATTTGCTACTGCATGTAACTTCTCATCAAATCTTCAAACAAGTTCAACATCATTATTAGTAAATTTACATTCTCATATTCAATTTAAAATTGATGCAATTATTAAAGAAAGAAAAGATAATGAGAGATATACTATTAATGAATATATGAGTAACGATGTTACAAGTGATATCAATCAAACACTAAAAGGTTTAAATATGATGGATGAAACTGAAATCAAAAGAAGTGTTCAAGCATCAAACATTACATCAAATGATTATTTAACTTGGAATTGGGATGAAATTTTTAAGTTATTAACATCATTATCTCAAAATATGAGATATGTTCCAATTGTTGAAAAAACACCTTTCTTTAAAACATTAATTAAATTTTATCAACCATCAAAAAAGAAGTTTAGTGAAATTGATTGTCAACCAAAAGAAAAGTACACTCCATGTGGAACAATGCTATTCCAAATTTTAATTCAAAGTGAAAGTGGTCAAGGATTGATGCAAGTTATCTTAAAAGAAATTGCTGCAGAACTTAAATATTTTATTCAAATGGCAAAGAAAGAAGAAGAGAGAAAACGAGAAGAAGAGACAAAGAAAAAAGAAGATGATAAAAAGAAAGACGATGATAAAAAAACTGAAGAAGAAAAAAAAAAGGAAGAAATTAAAAAGAAAGAAGAAGAACTTAGGAAATTCTTTGAAAGTTTAAATGAAAAAGGACATTTCTTTGATCAAACACATTTAATGAAAAAACTTTCAAAAGAATATTTTGGATTTATTGGAAGTATTTGTGATATGAAAGAAGCATATATTGCTTTAAGTGATATATTTGATTTATATACTCAGGTTCTTGGGATTAGAAGATTAGATCCATTGTCTGATCTTATTTCATCATCATTTAGGATATCAACAAATGATAAAAATACAAAAGTAATGGAAGCAATGCTTAATAGTGAAAATATTACACTTGCTAATCGTGCTATTAAAGAAATAAGAAGATTATTAATTAGTTCAGGAGATATTACTTCAGAACAAATGATGTGGAAAGGTTGGACTATTCCAAAATTAGTCGAGAATTTAGTTAAAAAAAATCAAGTAAAACAAAATATAAAAGAGATTATTATTATTTTAAGAAACGCAATTAAGAAAGAACATATAAAAAAAGTATTTGTTGAATTTATTAATGATAAAAAAATTGATAATGAAGAAACTAAAGGAAGTAATTCACAACAATCTTCAGAAATTAGAAACATATTTCAAATATTAATTGATAATGAAGGTGAAGATATTATTTATGAATTACTTAAAAATGATATATCAATTCAAAAGTGTATTGAAAGTACAACGTTTGTTATTGATGAATATAATAAATGGATGAAAGGTGGGTATATTGCTTATATTCAAAATTATGATGAAAAAAAACGATTACCTCATTTCTTCCAAATATTATCTCTTACACCTATTGGAAGAGGAATATTAAAAGATAATAATACAACTGAAAAACTTTATATTGAATTTACAACTTCAAAATTATTAATTAATAAAAGTGGTGCTGCAATTGCATTATCTTACATTGCTGCTAACGATAATAATGACGAATATAAATTAGTTGATGAGGATATTATTAAATGCATTATAAAATCAATTTATGATGAATCATTATATATTAGAGGAATATCAACTTGGGCAATTTCAATTTTATGTTCAAATAAAAAATACGAAAAAATGTTAAATGAAGAAGGATGGAATAAATCGTATAATGGAATTATGATTCCTGGAGATGGGTTGACTGATCAATTTTATAACCAGTATTATGAAAAAGTTCTCTTAAAAAATATTCCATTTTCAACTAATTTCTTAAATAACGAACAAATAGAAATTGTTAAATCTGTTAGAAAAATGAGACATGCAAATATGTGGAGAAGTTCAATGAAAGAACTTAATAAAAAAAGAGCTGAAAAACAAGAGTTATTTAAGAATGATATTTCTTTTAATATGGACGTATGTAAATTATTAGACAATGTTAAAACAAGTGTCATTCAACGGAGTTTTGTATACGAAATATTTCTTAGCTCTTTACCTTTACTATCTCTTAAAAATCAAGCACTTTCTTGTTCTGATAAAATTATTGGCATTGTAAAATCAGAAGCTCCAATAAAAGATAGTAGTTGTTCTACCCCAAAAAGAAATAAACGAGCTACAAAATCTCAAATTTGTTCTGCTGTTGATCCTACTTTTTCTTAATACATTAATTATTGTTATTCATAACATATATATTAATTTTTTTTTGTTTTTTAAAAATAGGAATTATTAGTTCTTTATGGTTTGATTACTTTAGTTGCATTAATTTATTATTAACAGTATTAGAAACATTTAGAGCCTTGTTATTTAATGATTGTGTTACAATACCTAGATTCACTTGAAAGTCTTTATAAATTTAATTGTGTTTGTAAAAGCTGTGACGAAGCAATCAAAGCAACAAAAATTAATCCAAATTACTCAAATGATTCTCTTGACACTTTATTACAAAACAATGAATTATCTCATATTCAAAAAGAGATCAATGTTTTTCCAAACTTAGAAACATTACAATTATCAAATGATTGTTTAGAACAATTATATAAAACACATAAATTATACTGTTTGTTGTATTTTATTTTAAAATAATGTAAATAAAAGTCTCATTATTTACAGTAGAAAAATCAATCAAATTAGTTAAAATAACTGATTATATTCTTAAAGAAAAAGAAAGCAGACTTGTTAGTTTAAAGTCAATAGAAGAAAAGATAGTTGAAATGAAGTTGGATTGTGATTATCTTTTGAATGGAATTAACTTATCTAATTGTCATAAATTACATAAATTAACACTAAGAATTGGTAATGTTTTTCAAATATGTCATTTAAAAAAATATATTGAAGAAATAAAAACAATTCCTTTTCTTCAACTGACTTGTATTTTTCATTCTAAACACCACCAAATAGTTTCTGCTATTTTAAAAGATTTCCCAAAAACTAAATTAATTTGTTGTTGGGTAGAAAAAAATACTTGTAATAATCTTATTGATTTGACCCATCACACATCTAATCATCTCATTGGAGTTTCTTATTTAGACTTTGACTCATATTCTGAATTTAACAACTTCCCATTTATTTTATTACCCCATAGAAATGGTCAATTACAACTTGCTAATGAAATGGTTATTGAACCTTATTTCTCTGAATTATTAAAGAATTATTATCCTGGCAATTTAGAAATTGTTGGCAAGAAATTAACTCCTCTCATTTCTCAAAATAAATTTCTTGTTGATTTATCTTATTTAAGTGATATAACTAAATTATCACTTCTTGATAGTAAAACAAAAAATATTAAATATATCCTTCCTTCTTCTTTGAAGGAATTAAAAATTCTTAACTTCGCCTCTTTTGATGATATTTTAAATATTAATGAAGTTAAATCAAACCTTAACAAATTCTCTAACAAACAAATAAAATAATAAAATTATTTTCTTCTTCTTTCATTTTTCCTTTTCTGATATAAACTTAAATCTATTATAAAATACAATCTCTATTAACCTACCTGAAATAGTTAATGACCCATCTCCATTACCTTAAAGAGGCTATTTGATTCTTTCATTTTAATAGCAATCAAAAATAATTAACAAATATAAGACTGACTATTTAAAACTTAATACATCAGTCTATGATGTTATACAAATGTGTTTTGTTTGGGTAACGTAAATCACGAGATTACTCATTAGTATTCTTGTATTAATTTTAAAATTATCTTGTGGTAATTAAAAACAAAAAATATTTCCGTTATAAAAAACAATAATAAAAAAATTTTTTATTATTGTTTTTATTAAATTAAAAATTTAAAAAACACAATTAAAAAAAAAATAAAACTACAAAATAGTATTATGCAAGTTCTTTTCTTAAGTATTTTAATATTTACTGCTTTTGCTGGATATGGGGTTGATATCGCAGAGCCTATTAGCGTTAGCTCAATCAACTGTCTGAGAAATATTGGATTTAACTCCTTTTTCATTTTTAGATGCTGGAGAAGTCTTGGATCATGGGATCCAAATGCTAAAGGAATTAATAACAACGCCCTCTCTGCTGGTTTTGATGCACACAATATTGACGCATACTTTTATCCATGCATTTCATGTGGTGATCCTGCTGGACAAGTAAACTCATTTTGGAATCAAGTAGTTGCTAATGACATGAAGTTCGAGAGGGTTTGGTTTGATGTTGAAGGATATTGGAATGATGAAGAATCGAACAAACAATTCTTTGAAACAATGATTAACCAACAAAGAGCAATTGGATTTAAGGCGGGTATTTATACTAATTATAATAATTGGGATCAAATCTTTGGACTTGATTATACTTTTGAGTATGCTGATGAATATCCTCTATGGTATGCTCATTATGATAGTTGGGATAGTTTTGGTGATTTTACTCCATTTGGTGGTTGGAGTCGTCCAACAATGAAACAATACAATGGAGATATGACTACATGTTCACATGACGTTGATTATAATTACAAGCCATGAATTGAATTAATGAATTTTATTGGTTTATTGAAAAAGCTTATAACAATGAGTTATTCCATTTGTAGAAAGAAGGTGTTGTTAAAAAGTCAATAAGTGAGACATAGTTATGACTCTTTGATTGTTCATGAAAAGAAATTCTTTCTTTTCATCCAATGATTTATTCTCAAATTGTCATTTCAAAAAATGATGGAATCATACTCATTTCAATCTTATTGAAATGTTTAGAACATATAAAAATTGTTTAATGAATAGATTGATGGTTAATATCATAAATATTAATGTTGGTACAATTAGACAATAATAATATTTTGACAGAACATAAATTAATAGTACTATTGATTATAGAAGGTATTGATTAATTCAATAAATGAAGAATAATGTCTTTATTTTTATAAATCAAAATGTATTTTTTTATAGTTAAGAATGAAGTAGATCATGATTTTGTCTGTTTAAAATGAATGTTATTTAATAGAATGATAAATATTAAGTAATGAATAATTTTCATTATATTGTTAGGGGATAGTTAGCTTTTTAAAATCAGTATTAAAAAAATAATTATAAATCAGTTATTAAGTAATGAACTTATTTCTAACATAAATGCTTCAATATGATAAATTGGTTCAGTTCCAAGTGACATATTATGACTATGTTTCATTGCAATAGAAGGAATTTCTAATTTATATTTTGGATCAATTTTTGATTCCATTAAATACCAAAACATTGTCTTTAAGATAGTATCAGCAGAAATGATTGTTGATAATTCTACAACTTCATCTCGTTTCTTTTCAAACTCTTTTGAGGAAATCTTTTTCATACTAATAACAATCTCAGCTAACTTTTCTCTCCAATATAAATTCTCTATCTTTCCAGTTAATCTATATTCAAATGCTGCTGCTTCAGCTAATAGAATATTTCCACGAGAAATACCAACGATTTTTTCATTTCCTCCAAGTTTTTCAACAATTTTAGTCATTTGTTGTTTATCTGGAAGAGGAACACGAATCATAACACATCTTGAACGAATAGGTTGAATAACACTACATGGATTAGTACAAAATAAAATAAATCTACAAACTTCTGAACCAGTTTCCATAGTTCTTCTTAAAGATTGTTGAGCATCATTAGTTAAATGATCCGCATCAAAAATCATAATAACTCTAAATTTTGTTTGATTTTCTTTGTAAGATTGTTTTGATTCAGAAGTAAGTATTAAATGATTTATTGATTTTTGTTGAATAAGAGAACTAAGTGTTTGAAAAGTAGTTAATGATTTAACATATTCTTGAATAACTAATTTATCAGATTCAGTTGCATTTGAAGGGATAAGTTCTACATGATAAGGAGATGATCTTAAATTAATTTCTTTTGGTTTTCCTTTTACATCAATAATAGTAGTTGAAGGTTCAATTTTCATAACACCATCACCATAAATATTTTTTAAATATAATAAAGCTCTTGTATATTTTCCACTTCCTTCAGGTCCATGAAAAAGTAAATGTGGCATATCTTTATTTTTACTTAAATTTATTAATAAATCATTAGCTTCATTTGCATGATCCAATTCTTTAAATGAAGATGGTCTTTTATTAAACATAAGAAACCAAAAAGAAAGAATAAGAAATAACAATTTGAAGTTCTTAAATAAAAAACAAAAAAGAAAAAAAAAGTTATTTAAAACAAATAAAATAATTATTAAATTAAAGAGATTTTTTATTTTTTAATTTAAGACATTAGTTTACAAACAATACAACTAATATTATCTTTACATCCATTATTATATGCAATATCTCTTATTAATGAAGATAATACCCAAGCAGATTCATTAGATTTTTTTCTACAAATTTCTCCAACTAATTCATTAGATAATACATCAAAAACACCATCACAACATAATACAATACATATATCATCTATTTCTCTTTCATAAGAAGTAATTTGAGGAATATAAGTACAAACTGATGAACATTGAATATCTCCTAAAGTTCTTGTTAAAACAATTTCACCATTAACTTTAGAATGATCAATAAATCCATTTAATTTACGAATTCTTTGAATTTCATCAGGATTATTAATAGTATGATCTTCATTAAGTATAATAATTGAATCTTTTTTAACAAGAATAGATCTTGAATCACCAACATTAGCAATAAAATATTTTTGAGGAGTAATTAATACTACATTTGCAGCAGTTCCATCATTAAATTTATATTCATTAATTTTTTGATTAATTTCTTTAAATGAATAAATTAATGCATCTTCAATTGATTGATGAGGATTTTTAGATAAAATATTTGCAAAACAATTAGGGAATTGTGAAGCACAAAAACAACTAGAATTAATTCCATTATGACCATCAAATAATGATAATAAATGAAATCCAATTCCTAAAAAATTAGTAATAATAACTGATGTATCTTGCATTGAATCTCTTTTACCACACATATTTGATGTACCAATTTCAATAGGACATTCAAATGAATTTTCTTCAAATTGAGGAGAAGATAAAGGTAATTTAAGTTGATTACAATAAGCAGATTTTAAAAATAATAAAGGAGTATGAATTATAGTTTGTGGTTTATTTCTATCTCTTTTTTCTGTATTAAAATAAGATATTTCAAAAATATTTAATTGTTTAATAAAATTAATATTAAAAGGATATTTTATTTCTGGTAATGTTCCAATAAAATTAATATTTTTTAATTGTTTCATTAATGTTAATTCTGATGGAATATGAAGATTTTTATTAAATGCTAATGAAAGTGATTTAATTGTAGTACATTTAATAATAGGAAATATAGAATTAATATTATTATTTGAAAAATCAACAATTTGAAGATTATTTAATTGACTTAAATTTTTAGGTAAATCACAAATATAATTATTTGTTAAATATAAATTTGTTAATGATGTTAATTTTAAAATATCTAATGGAAATTCTGTTAATTTATTATGTGATAAATTTAATTCTTCTAATTGATTTAAAATACTAATTGAATTTGGTATTGTTGTTAATTGATTAATTCCAAGTTTAAGTATTTTTAAATATGGAAGAAATAAAAATAAATTATTTGGTAATTGTGAAATTTTATTATTACTTAAATTTAATTCTTTTAATTTATTATAACTAATTCCTTTTTCTGGAAATGATATTAATTTATTTGAAGCTAATGTTAATATTTTAATATCTGAATGTAATTCACTTTGTTCTATTTGTTGAATAAAATTATTAGTAAGATATAATTCATTAATTGTTTGAAGATTTCTTGTATTTGGTATTTTTTTTAAGTAATTATTACAAAGATTTAGTATAAATACATTATCATTTGGAGTACATTTTATTTCTGTTAATTTATTATTTTCTAATATTATACAACAATTATTTAATGTACAATTAACTTCTGTAATTAATGAATCAGTAATAATTAAATTTGATATCTTTGGAATTTTTCTTAAAAATTTTGGAAATTCATTAACTCGACTTCTAACAATAATAATTTCTTGAAGATTAGAAAGTGCTATAATTTCTTCTGGAATTTTTTGAATTAAACAATTAGTAAATGCAATTTCTTTTAATTTTTTTAATTCTTTAATTTCTCTTGGTATTTTTCTTATTAAATTATTATCTAATTCTAATGAACAAAGTTCTGTTAAATTAAATATTTCTTTTGGTATTTGAGTAAATTTATTATTAAGTAATTTTAATTGATTTAAATGTTTTATTCCTTCAATTCCTTTTAACTTAGTTAAATTATTATAAAACATCCATAATGTTCTAATATTTGATAATTTTCCAAGAACTTGTGGAAACTTATTAAAATTATTATTACTAAGATCAACCTAGAAATATAAATATTTCTTCTTATTTATCTTTTTCATTTATTTATTTTAAATTCAATCTGAAGATTGAATTATTAATGAATTATTCAAAAGTTAATAACAATATTCTATATAAAATAGTTAAGAATAAAAAAAAATTAAAACAAACAAATGTTAACTTTGTTAAAGAACTCATTTCTAATGGTAATTCTTTTAACTTATTTGCTGGAAATGTAATATTTACAAGAGTAGTCATTATTCCAATTTCTTTTGGAAGTGTTGTAAGATTATTTTGTCCCATAATTAATTCAGATAAATTATTTAAACAAATAATATTTGATGGAATATATGTAATTTGATTATTTGATAAGTCAAGACATTTTAATGATTGAAGATCAAGAATTGGATCAGGAAATTTATTAAATTTATTTCCTCTTAATCGAAGGAGAGTTAATAATGAAAAATTTGAGAATGATGGTTCTAAAGACTATATTATTGAGTGAGTAATTTATTCTTGTTGTATTATATCTACAAATTATAAATAACATACATTAATTTGATTTAAACTTAAATCAAGACTTTTTAATGAATGTTTAAGTTTCATGATTTCATTTGGAATGCAAGTATATCCTTTTGACTTAGCAACAAAATTTGTAGTAACTTGTGTCATTAATTTGAACTCTTTTTTAAATAGATCTATCAATTCTAACTACTATCTATTTTCAGTATTATCTAAAAAAAAACATTTTAATCATATATTCTTCTTTCCTTTCTTATTCATGAACATATAATGACATTAATTTCATTAATTGTTCTTATTAAATATAACAAATTTACAATATTTAATATTCAACTCTAATTTTTTATTTCATTCAGATATCTTATGTTATATTTAATGAAAATATTTTCATAAAAGTATTCTACTATTGTTATTAGTATTAAACACAATTGGTTATTGATCTGTTTAATAAAAGGTATTATACAAACAAATTATCTACTCTAAATTCAATACAAATAATATTATTATAATTTATGGTTTTTTAATCAATAAAGAAATTGAAAAGAAGAATGAGATGAATTGTGATCTCAGTAATTCATTAAATTATTACAATGACTATAACCCTTCCTCCATCACTCACTGGAATATTACCAAAATACCAACAAGTTGTAATAAATTGTACATCTCCTGAATACAGAGAATTGTCAGCTCAAATCCATATGGCATTACTTCCATTAATTAATACAATTGCTATACTTCATACACCATATCAGTCATGTTCTGAACATTCATTTAAACAATTCCAAAAAGATGATAAAACTTTAGTAATTGAAGTTGGAGGAATTTGTGAACAACAAGACCATGTCTATATTTATCCATTAAACATTCCTGCTCTTCAACCAATTCATATTGATGATGATACTATTATTATTGTAGAACCTTCATTAATGGAAAAATATAGTTTTATGAAGTCTTTAAACAAAGAGTATTTAGTATTGAATATGAAAGACGCATTTATTATTAGAGAGAAAGCAATAAAAAATGTTTGTTATTACTTAATTTATGTTATATGAAAAGATAATTTATAAAATATAGAATGTTAATAAAGTAGTAATTATCTATGGAAGTGAGACATTTAATTCAATACCATTCCAATTATATTTCAATCCAATGAATATTAAGAAAATTAATATTGTCAATGGAAATGAAATTGATTGTTCAAAAGAAACAATGAGATATGTAATGAATAGATATTCATTATTTGATAAAATTAGAAGTGCAACAACATTTATGCTTTTACTCCTTGATCCTGATTGGTGTTTGTTTATTCTTTTCATTAAATATTCTCAAAATGAAATTCATTAATTAGACAATTCTGAATCATTTAAAAAACTAAGAAGTTTATTGATGAAAGAATATCATGTAATCACTGTCTTTATGGGAAATCCAGAAAATAAGTTACTGAATTATAGTGGACAAGTTGATATTGCTATTATTCTTGGTTCTGATTTATCTGAATTGAAGTTTGAAGGTGATATTCCAACAGTAACACCATATGAAGTATTGTATTCATTATATCTCAATAATGAAATTGAATGGAATGGAGACTATCCAATTGGCATTAAACGATCAAAACCATACATTGACCAAGTATATGAACTTACTAATTAATTAAAAGTTTGAACCATTTATTATTTAATGAATGAGAAGTTAAAAAAAAGAATTAATTTTTAAATATGAATTGTTTTTGTATCTACATTCATTATTACTAATATTTTGTAATAATAATGAATTGGTCATATATTAGAATCTTTTTTTTTCTTTTCAATTCTACTTCAATTAGGTATTTAATTTCTTTTATATTAAAGAAGAAATATTCCTTATTGAATGACTTATTCATAAGAAACAAGGTAATTGAATAAAACAAAACAATAATAAGATGGAGTATAAAATTAAAAGAAGAGAGAAATAATAAAAAAGGTTAGTTACTTAGTTATGTGTTCTTTCTCATAGATTCGTGGTAAAATTTTAGTAATGTCCATTGAATAAGAAACAAAAATTAAAATGATAAATCCAACAAGCATCCATTGAGCAATAGCTGCCACAGAAACAACGACTAAAATGTTAATAATTTTATTTATTATTTCACTTAAATTAAATAAACAAACATTTCATTGCAACACTACCAAAGATAGAAACTGTTGTAGGATGAATTGCCATTGCTAATATAATAGTAATTCCACATCCAATACAACACCATTTTCTAAAATTCATTGCACGTTCATCAAAATAAGAATAAACATTTTTCTTATCTTTAAGAATATAAAATATATATGATGTATGTATTATGACTAACATGAAAAATATTCCTGCACAACTTTGATGAACTCGACTTCCTATTGTTAAATGAGTTGATGAAATAATATCATCTTGTAATGGAATAATTGCATGAATTATAAAACAAATAACTCCAGATGATAATGTAATGAATAATTTAATAGTTTGTTGTTCAGAAAATAATTCAGTAATTGGTAAAACAGAAAAATGAATGTGATATGAGCAATATAAAAATAATATTCCTGTTATACAAAATCCAAATGAATATAAATAATATTCTGGTGATTTATAACCTGTTAATGAAATGAATGGTAATATTACACTTGATGGATAATGATTTAAGAATGTTGATATAATAAAACAAATAAGAATTGTAGTAACAGCAATAAGTGCTGCATTTCTAATAAGAATTGGTAATTTTTTAATGGTATTAAACGTCATGTATTTATGAGAAAAAAAAATTAAATAAAATTGACAGTTCAATTAAAAAAGAAATAAAATCTTTTAAATTGAAAAGAAAATAAATAAAAATCTAATTTTCTCATTAAGAAAACAAAAAACAAAAATAATATAAAAAAGAAATTCACAACTTATTTTATTGATAATAAGAATAATTCACTGGTTCCCATTGAGGTGGTGTAACATATTGAACTTGTTGTTGAGGTAATTGTTGAATAATTGGTTGAACATTTTGTCGTTGAACAAATCTATTATTTGTGCGATTACGATAAGGATTAGTATATTGTACTTGAGGTTGTATTTGTTGTATTTGTCTTTGTCTAAGAGGAACAAATTGTGGTTGAACAGGTTGAATATAAACAGGTTGAACTTGTCTTATAGCAGCAGGACGAACAGTTTGAATAGGTTGAATTTGAATTGGTTGTGTCATTGAAAAACCATCTTCATTTTCCCAATTATCACCAAAGAAATCATCATCTTGTTGTTGATATGTTTGAGCAAAAGGAGGTGGAGACATTGATGGTGAGAAAAATGTATTATCCATTATATATGGATCATATAATGGATCTGGAATATCATCTTGAACATGAACTCTTTGTGGAATTCTTCCATATTTCATTGCCATAGGATTTGGTGCTACAGCTCCAATTCTTGGATTTGATAATTCATCATTAACTTCATTTCTCATACAAATTTCTGCAACTTCTGCATTTAATGCTTCAATTTGACTTCTAATTTCTGCAAGTCTATTACGATCTCCACGTTGTTGTCTTTTTTGTTGTATTTGAGTATATGGATTTTCTTGATAAACCATACCAGCTATAGGAATATTTCTTGGATTATTATTATAAATTTGTGCTTGTTTTGCCATTTTTTGATAATCTTTTGAATTAAGTGTTTGACTAATATATTGTCTTCGTATTGGAACTTGTTGTTGAGGAGGTGGTTGTAAATAACCAATATTTCGAGTGGTATGTTGTTGTTGAATAGGAAGAACAATTCCATTTTGGTGTTGTTGTGCCAATTGTTTAGCAATTCTAAATTGTTGATAAAATTGTGAAGGACAAGTTTGATAAGGATTTGACATTCTCTCTTATTCTTTTACTAATTTTTAAAGTTCACTTTTTATTTTTATCTTTTCTTAATTTTTTTTTTTTATAAATAATTTAAAATAATAAATTATAATAAAATATAGTAATTTATTCATATTTAATTATGTTTTGTTGAGATTCTTTCTAATTTGTTATTTGTTAATATTTTATAATACTTGAACAACAGTATCTGGTTTAAATGAAAGAAGTGGATACAAATTATTTTCTTCAACTCCTTTAAACCCCTTTTCTTCAATATCATTACATTGAAAAGTAATAAATTTAGTTTTTTCATCATAACTAACAGTAATAACTCCATCTTGTAAACCAAATGATGATCGTTGAAGAGATCTATCATCTCCCATATATACTCCATCATAATATAATACATGTAATAGTGATGGTTTTACTGCTCTATTTAAGTCAATTGGTTCTTTAACAGTTACAAATCCAATACATACATTACCATTTAATACTCGAACAGTAAATTTTTTAATTGGGATATATAACATAATATTACAATAAGATACTTTCACATTTTTTGGACAACTGATAGTAAGGGTTGTTTTGTCAAATACTAAATTTTCACTATAAAAACTATAATCTCCAAACCATAGCATTTGTCTTGTCATTGATGATTGATCTTTCATTTCTTTTTTTAATAACTCTATTTGTTGTTTTAGGTTATTAATTTCATTAAGTAATTCTTTTGTCATTTAACTTTTATTCTTTATTATTTTAAGTTCTTCTTCTTAAAACATCTTCTTCTTAAAATTTATTATTTTTTTATTTTAAATTCCACAAAATATTTTTTAATTAAAAACTCTTTTTTGTTGTTCTGGTGTTGCTTTCATTTTAAATTCATATAACAAATTATCTGCATCATAAATATATTGTAATGGAATTTTATGTTCTAATTTGAGTGTCCAAATAAATAAATCATCAAATCTCATCTGACTGTTCATGATTTCTACTCTATTTTTGATAAGAATTGTTGCTGATAAAAATAAATATAATTTGTCTTTAGGAAATGAGATAAAACTATCCCATAATCTTAAAACTTCTTTTGAATTAAATTCTCGTTTAAATAACATTAATAACCATTTAACAATAAATTCAAATGTAATATTATTTTTATTTAAATATTCTCCAAATTCTTCATCTACAACATAAATAATATTTCCTACATTCATCATTTTATCTGATGATATTATTCCTTCTTCTCCATAAAATTCTTTTATTAATTCAAGTATTCCTTGAAATAAATAAAATACTTCAAATTCTGAATATGTAATTTGTATAATTAATGCTACTATATCACTCATTCCTTGTCCATATCCAATTTTATTTGTTATACTCATACTAACTAATACATCAAACATAACTTTTAATGTACTACTTGTTAAATCTTTAAATAAAATATTATCTCTATCTGTTCTTTGAACATCTTTACAAATAATACTAATATTTCTTTTATATCTATTCTTTGTTTGTTCATCCATTTCTTCTGGTTGTTTTCCATTCCATCGTTTTTTAATTTCATCATATTCATTCTTTAATAAAAGAAGTTGTTGTTTTCTTTCTTCTTCTGTTGAATTAAATTTCAATATTCCAAGAAACATTTCCCATAAAACAACTCTTATCTTTTCATCACTTCCATGATATTTGACTAACGTTCTCAACTCCTTTTCTTCAAATTCATGAATTCTACCATTTTCATCTTTCATCTCAATGATTTGTTCATATCCAATCTTACTTAAATCATTAACTATCATTTCATTTCTTTCAATTCTTAATTCATCAGTATCTCCTCGATATATCAAATTATCCATGTAATTCTTCTTTTTAAAGTTCTTATTCAATTTCTTTTATGTTATATATAACACAATGAATTAATTTCTTTCAATGGAGTTCAAAGGTTTCTTTATGGTTTCTTTGAGAACAACTTTCTTTTATTGGTTGTGGTGTGTTTATTAAAGAGAAGATGATAACATGATTAAATTTATGACAAGAATTAATGTGCCATTTAAATAATGAAATCTCATTCTTCATTACTTTACTTTTCATAGTTCAACATAAAGAGTGATTGTTTAATCAAGTAAATAGTTGTGTTGAAATGAGAGAAACAAATATAGAAAAGGTTCTGAATTATTTAAATAATGGCTATGAAAATAAAAAGTAAGTATTGATTTAGAGTAATTTTATTTGATACTTCTAGTACTGAACATTATCAAATCAACTATAATTCAATACATTTATTTTTTAGAACATTACATTCATTTGATTTTTGTTTTGTTTATTGAAGGTAGTATTCATTCTTTTATTTGTTTAGAATGGAGTTCTTGTGATTTAATTATATCAAAACAAATAGTAACAATTATTTGATATGAAATAACCAAATTGGTTTGATCTTGTTTCTGTTGAAAGTAAATCATGAATTGGAGATTATTAGAACAATTCCTTGTACTCTCTTCTTTTATTCAACAATGTATGATTTAATACATCAGCATTGATTATTTTATTGTCTCTTATTAGTTAAATAGAATGATTTCATTATGAAGACAAACTCAAATGAATTAGAATAGAGAATAACAGAGAAAGTGTTTAACAAAATGATTCTTTATGAAAAGAATAACATGAAAATAAATTGTTATTTTTAAATTTGTTTTTTAAAAAACATAAAAAATTTTAACTGAAAAATTTTGTATTTACACAATATGAGTGAAGACAACCAACAACAACCAGAAACACAACAAGTAAATCAATCAGTTGAAAGCAAAGAAGAACAAGATATTGGATTAATTGATATCATTAAAATTACTGATCAAAAACAAAAATGTGATGAAATTGAAATGAACCAAAAAGAAATGTTTGTTTATTATTAAATAAAATGAAAAGATAATCACAAAATAGTCAAAGTATTATCAAAGATCAATTACAACATGTAGCTCATATTCAACAATTAATTAGTGAAAAATCAAAGGATTTTGATAAAACTATTGATCAATCTATTGCAATAGTCAAAGATACTAGAAATGATCTTCTTGTTATTCAAGCAAAACTTCAGTTTGAATTTTTTATTTGTATTTAAAAATTCAATAAATATTAATATTTAGAAATATGAGATTAATGCTAAGATTACCAAATAAATAAACAATTGATTTTCATTTATTTATTATTTATTATTCAATTACTGTACATCGAATCCATAAAATATCACCAAATGGAATATGGTCAATAGTAAATAAACGACATTGAATATTCCATGTTCCACATTGTTCAATCATAAATTCATAAGAAACTTGAATAATATTACTACGTATAATTTGTGGAATTATAAAATTACTTTTGGTTGGAATTAATTCATTTCCTTTCCATTGACCAATATAACATCCTTTAGGCCATTGTTGATTTCCACTATTTTGAACCATCCATATTTTTATATGTTTTTCATTTTTATGAATAATTTGTATAGATTTAAATGTTACATCTCTGATAAATTCCATTTGATATCCAACTTCTTTCTTTTTACAATCATTCTCTTCTTTTATTTGACATTTCTTTGTAAACATTTGAATAATTAATTTACATTGATTTTTGAATTCTTCATCTTGTAATATTGTGTTTAGTTCTTTCCAACACATAAATGATTGAGATAACTGAGGTAATACAAGAATCTCAATAATGTTCATTAATCCTTCTTTTGTAGAAATCATCCCATTTTCATTCTCAAAAATATGAAGATTTACAACTCCACTTACTTCTTGATAAAATCTAATCCAATCATTTTGATTAGTAATAGTTGTTGGTCCTTTTGAACTACAATATAATAACACTCTCTCTTTGGGAAGTTGTCGAAATATTGAACGTAATTTCTTATTAAAAGATTTTAAATGGATCATTCTTTGATCAACAATAATTCTATGGTGTTCAACACCACAACAATCAACCTCAACAAGAAATTGTTTTTGCATAATTACTATATCTCATAATTATTATCTTCTTTATAAATCATTTTATTAACTAAACTTATCAAAACTAAACAAAACTTTATTTCTATTCAACTTAATTAAAGTTCCTCTTTGACTTTTTCATCACAAGGACAATGATACTTGTTTTGATTACATTCAACATCTTGATCAATTATTCCAATACAATACCTTCCTAATTTCTTATTACACATTAAATGATATTCTTCTTTCTCAACTTCATTAATAAAATCATACCTCTCCTTAAAACTATATAAATCAACACAATGTTCATCTGAATTCATTAAAATAATATTTGTTGTGTTCCATTGACTAACTCTACCAAATTGAATACTGAATATTGGATTAAATTGATAATGATTATCAATAATGATAGTTGATTTACCTTTGATAGAAAGAGAATAACAAAAATCATGTGAATTCTTATTTGAACATTCCTTTGATAATTTTTGACCTGAAATACTAATTGTACTATTCTTTCCAATTTTTAGCAAAGACTCTCCACTTAATTCGAATGAGTTAGATGATAATATTGTTGATTCTCCAGTATTTAATGTTGTGTTATATAACAAAAATATAGTTGATGCATTAATAGTACTATTAATTCCTAGTTCAATGACAGCATTTGAATATGATGATATATATTCCTTAACATCAATATAAACATTATTTTTAATATTTAATTGTGGAGTTTGAAATACATAAATATTATTAGTTATTAATTTAGCTTTATCTTCAATAGAAATAGTAGAAGTACCATAAACATAAAGATTCTGACATTCAAATAAACTCAATGAACCAATATGAATTTGACCATTATTAAATATATTAACAAAATATCCATTAACTTTAATAATACATTTTCTTTCTATTGTAAGTATAGTATTGTCATATAATTCAAGTTGATTCTTAATAACTAAATGACTTCCTTCTTTAAAGTAAATTGATGAATTTTCATATCCTATTAAACTGTCAAAGATAATTACTTCACTCTCATTTCCATTAATAAATAACCCATTTGATTTTAATACAACTTTTCCTTGTTTAACATTAAAATGTCCTTTATTGTTAATTTCAAGTGTTGAATTCTCTTCAATAATAACATTTCCTTTCACTTCTAATCTTCCTTTAACAACAACTTTACTTTGTTTAATTTCTATTTGTGGAATTTCTACTACACTATCTCTTTCAATAATAAATTGATTTTTAATAATACTATAGTTCATTAAAATAACATGAATATTAGGTTCTACAATTATTTTTTGTTGAATGGTAATGTCTTTGTCTATTTCAATTGTACAATTCTTTGATATTTTAATTTGGTCAATTCCTTTCATTAACTTATCACATTCTCCAGTAATATGAAAATCTTTATTAATCTCTAAAAATTGACAATTCTCTCCTGTAAACCCTTCATTACAATTAATTGAAATTGGTTGACATGAAATCTCATTAGCATTGACATGAGTTTTTATCCAAAAGAAGAAGAAGATAATGAAAATCATGTGTTACTTAAATCTTTTAAGTTCATCTCGAAGTATTAAAAGAATTTCTTATTTTTGTTATTTTTTATTTCTTTATTAAATTATACTTTCTAATAAAAGTAATTAATTATTATGAAATTATAATCAAAACACAAAAAAGAAATTGATTTTTTTGTGGTTTTTTTTAAAAGACTTCAATGAAATGAACAAAATAAAAAACAGTTGATGAAAAGAAACCCAATTGAAGCAATAACAACCACAATTTGATGAAAAGCTTAAACTTTTTTAATTTTCGTCAATTTCTGGGTCAACTCCACGCTTGTTTTCACATGTTTTCATTTTTTGTGGAATACCTTCTCCTTCTTTAAAATTATCATATTTAATATCAATTCTGTGTTCAAGATTTAAATATCTAATTAAACGTCCTTGTTGTGGTACTGATAATTTGCCAACAAGTTTATATAACGTTCTCATTAATTCAACTCTAGTCTTTCTTACTTTTCTCAAATTTTCATTTTGAACTTGGATTTTATTTCTTAATGTTTTTGTTTCATCGTGGCTTGTAAATACTGCCATATCTGCCATATCATGTTCGTTTTCACGTACTAACGCTCTTTCAGTATCATCTAATTTTTTTAAACTATTTTCTAATGCTTGTGCTTTAGTCATAATTGCCTTAACTTGTTTTCTGCATTGTTCTCCTCTACAAGCATCAATTGGGCTAACTACATCATATCCTCCAAATGTACTTACCATAGCATACATCTATTTTGTCAGTTTATTTCATTTTTTAATTAAAATCTTTTTTCCTTTCTTTTCATTTTAGATTTTCTTTTATTTTCAATAAAAATAAAAGTCAATATCTACTTTATAATTTAAAATACTTATTCAAAACAAACTTGTCCATTTGAGAAAGCAATCAGTAATACGAGTAATAATACACTCATTGTTGATAATATAAAATAATTTTAGATCTAGATCTTTTAAAATTTTTCTTTATTTGTTTCACTTTTTTTCAATTATTTTCTTTGATTTTTGTTTTTTTTTTCACTTTTTAACCATAGTTCTATCAGATCAGGAAAGAACGTTTTCGGTGTATTTCTTTTCATTTAGTTTTATCACATCTGTTTTTCTTCTGTTCTATTTGGCTGTCTCTACTCTATAGCCAAGAACCAGAATAATTTTAGGAAGGAATGAGGCAAGAACAGAGGAAATGGTTCACTTAATTGGTAGGTGGTTGTGCAAATGTCTTAGTTAAGTGTGTGTGCAATTCAAAGAGTGTTTATGATGCGATGGTTATTTATTAAGGGAATACAAGAAAATATAGTTGGAAACAATAAAGAAATGAACTGGAAATGATGTTGTTATTGGTTGTGTGTTTTAAAGATATTTCTCTTGTTATTGGATTTAAAAGGTAGTTATTGGTATAGGGTTAGTTATAAAAAATGAGCCATACTAAAATGATTTAAGTTGATTATCAATTGTTCAAATAAACAAAATGCCAATGAACATGAGGGGATGATAGATGCAAAATGTTTAATGATTTAAAGATTATTTTAATTATTGTCTATTCATTGTCATAAAATATATTACCTTTTATTAGTGTGTTGGTAATTATTATTACCACTGTATTATAATAGTTTAAATACTTGAATATACTTGTAATTATTTTTGATAATAAATGAAAATGAGTCTTTTGTTGTTTTTCATTAAAATATTTTGATTATTAAATATCCTTCATAAAGAAAAAGAATAATATTGTGTAGTTACACTCTTACAACGTTTTGAATATTGTTAATATTTTATTTATTCGTTGGGGTATGAAGGTATTAATTTATAATCATTATTTTAGTAATACTCTTTTACAACAATATCTTTGTATAAATAAATACAGAAGTATAAAGCATTTGTTTATTTTGTTTTATTTTCAGTATATTTGTTTATTTACGATAAAGTAACAAGATTTACAAATCAATTTGGAAAATATATTATCTGTTTTTCAATAGAATAATGATTTTTGAAGTTGAATTGATAATTTCTTGATTTCATTTAGGTTTAACTCATTTATTATTATTGAGACACAAATCATATTTAGACAATGTGTTAATAATAATATAATTTATGTTAATGTTCATTCCATTGTTATTAAATTTTTGTTTATTATTTAAGTTACAACAAAACAATAAAATAAGATAATTTATTATTTATATTTATTCTGAACTTACTATTTTCATTCTGTGTTTTGGTTATATAATTCTTTATTCTTTATTCCATAAACACTTTGTATCAACATTATTACTTATTCATTAATAATCATGTTATTTTTATTTGATTCTTTTCTATCATATTTTGGTATTAACTTGATTTATTATTTGATTGAATTATCTGTTAATTTGTTTGAATATACTATTAATCATTTGTACAACAGGATATTAGTTATTTTATTAAAAACAGATATTTCAAATTATTATAACTAAAGTAAAAGCACCGAAGTTAAGTACACATTTAAGTTAATAATCATTACTGTATTACATTAGGTTTCATTTATATTAATCTAAATAAGTTAGTCATTTTATTTTTGATTAAATACTTAATGTATTACATATATATTATTATTATTTTAAATTTATATGTTATTTATCTTCATAATTGATGAGTTAATGAAAAGATAAGATTGTTCAACTTTTTATAATATTGGATTTATATAAAATTACTCATTCAATTAACTTATTAACAATAACATACATCTATAGTACAAACAGTTTTGATATTTATTGTTTCTATTTCAATGATAATGAATTGAATGTATTTGAGATTCTTCATAAAAGAATGGTACAACTAATCATTTCAACATATTTTTTCATAAGAAATTCAAATAAAAAGAAGTAAATATTTTAAGTGTTTATTCTTATGATCAACATTTTTAAAAGAGTATATCCTAAACTTAAATGAAGAAGATAAGACTATATGTCATTATAAATTAAAAGTATATTTTTGATGAAGTTAAGAAATGACAATAAAAATTCTTATTTTTAAGCATCAATATTATCATTGTAGTTGATTAATTTTATTATATTTAAATAAGACACATTCTAGAAATACATTAAATGTTATGAAACAATATTATAGAATTAGTTTTAGAATAGGAATAAAACTATCATCATTCTTGATTTATTCAAATTGTTTGCTAGTGTTTAGATGGCTACGAAAAAAGAAATAAGAGAAAAATGAAGAAAAAGAATGATATAAAAGAAAAAAGTGAAATTAGGAAGTAGAAGAAGATGAAAAGAATAAAAGTAGAATGTTGAGAATATAAAATGAAAGAAGATAAAAATGAATAATTCAAAAAGAGATAATAAAAGATGAAAAGAATGATGAAATAAAAGATGCATTTTTTATTATAGAAATTAGAAATATACAATAAAAAAGTGTTTAATTTATTGATGTAAATTATTTAACATTATTTTATTGATATAATTTATTTTATTCATTTTTATTTTTATTATTTTTATTTATATGTATTATTTATTATCTTTTTTTGTTCTAGAAAATATAGAATTTGAAATATAATTTGTTGAATCAAAATAATTAGAATCGATAATACATCTTCATAAAATGAAATTATAAATATATTAACATTTATAATATCATTAACAATATTTAATATAGAAGAAGTGAAAAAAGAGAATCTGTTTATCAAAATAATATTGAAGAAAATATAAACAAGATAAAATATTAAACAAGAAAAGAATAAATAAATGAAATAAAAGATAATAAACAACAGAATAACATACACAAGAGAAGTTAGATATACAAAATATAAAATGAAAATACAGAAAATAAATAAAATATTATTCATAAATAATAATATGAATAATAAAAGAAATAAATAAAATACATAAATATGAATATGATAGAAATAAAAGAATAAGATATATAAATTATTGATAAAAATAATACATATTATCAACATCAATTATTATAAAGAATAATTAAAATAATAATTATGAATAATGATAAAATAACAATAGAAATATAATTAAAATATAAAATTAAAATATAAAATGATGAAATAAAATAAAATATAAATACAATTAATTATAACAACATTTAAATTTAATTATAATAATTTAATATTCATTTTCATGTTAAATAGATAATAATAATCAAATAATAATAATAAATAATAAATAAATTTATATAGAATAAATAATAAATAATAAAATAATATTTATTTCATTATTTCATTGTTTTATATTTATTTTATTTATTCAGTTATATTATTTATATTTATTTTATTTAATTTGAAATATTTATTCATTATCAT